AATTCTTCTTTCCTTCATAATTTCTGCCTCTTGCTATTTTCTCCAGTCACCATGAAATACGAATCTTCTATGAGGGCGCTAGTATACGGCAAACAGTCACGCGCAATTCAGCGCAGGTGTTTACTGTCGCGCCAGATTGAAGAACTGTCCGTTACAAGCTGATTCAAATCCGACGCTGCGGTCAGCTGCAGTCCTCGACTTCAAAAATATTTAAATGTATCTGTTACTTGTTGCTCAAATTCACCTAACATGTGTCATTACCAGCAACTTCGAATAATTAGCGTGAATAATGAGTGAGAATGATGTGCTTTGTTCGCAAACAGCTCAAAAAACTGAAATGATCGTGCAAATTCTCATTTAAAAATTCCGAGAAACGCAATTATTTTTATATTTTTTTTAAACTTTCATAGTGTTTCCAAGTTAATAGAGTTTTTTTTTATACAGATACCTTTAAGTTTTGTGTTAATTTTAATTTAATTTCTCTCTACCTTCGATAGAGAGAGTTTCAATTTTAATAAACTTAGCTTTATTTTGATTTTTTGCCAGCTGTTTATCATATCATCATTTAAAAGTATATGTACATATATAAATGTTTGTGAATGCATAGATGTTTGTAAATGTTTGGAAGTCGGGGAGAGGTCTGTGGATTTGTTAAGTTCAAACTGTGCGGATATTTTTGCTATTAATTTTATCTTTGATTAACTGTGCAGTTAATTGTCGCTTTTCATTCGCTCGTTGAGCCCTCACATGTGTATGATAATTATAGATATAAAACATATCCTATATCTATGTATTCTATCTCTGTATTTTTTGTATCATAATAGTAAAATTGTTTACTTCAAATGTGTCATCTAACAGAATAATGGAGGACTACATTAATATACACTTCCTGAAAGTTTGTAAGATCTAAGAGGGCTGTACATTTAACTCCAAGATGATTTGGCTTTTGTTATTTATTATCCATGAAACATCAGCTAATAATGGCAATACGGTCTTAAGAGATTTGGGGAAAAAAGAGTATTCCTTGATAAAAGGTAAGAAATTGAAAAGTGGAAATTGATGAGAGTGATGGTTAACAGAGAATACATAAAAAACATATCATTTTCAGCAAAATCATCATTGCCGCAACATGGAAAATGTTGGCATGCTGCGCTCCGAACATTGGAGAGCAACTGCGATAAATTGAATGATCACGAACATTCGCTTCTTGCCCTTCAACTAGCAAATTGCTTCTTAGAGGATTCTGGTCACGCAACCTACAATTGCCATTGCAGTGAAACAGAAGACGAGCGTCGGTAAAACGAGTATTTTTGGTTACTTATATTTTATGCCTAATTTTGTAATGACTCGCCATTATTTATTTCACAGAAAATGCATTGGCGACATGACAGACCGAGCCTTTAGTGTTTACAATGAATTCTACACTCATGCAACTCATATCTGTTTCTTTTTGAACCATGAAGCTTGGCAAACTGAAGTTGAAAATACCATAAAGCTGTAAGTGCATATATAATATCCTAATATTTTTGCATATGTAAAATATAAAAAACTCACATATTTCTACATATTTGAATTATATTTAATCATTCTATATATTTAGATTGTTTCAAGTATCTTCCCGAATGAAGGATCAATTGTTAGAAGCATCGGAAATGCAAGGTGTAATTTTGAACAGTCAAAAGGAGGGTTTACGTATTCAAAACGAGCTTTTAGATCATGGCAAGGAACTCGGAACTGTACTAAAGACTTCATCTGATACAGTCAGCAATATGGTGTCGGATTTCAAGTGAGTTTGTAAAGATAATTTTTGTAACGTTTAAAAATTTAGTCAAATGTAAATTACTATAAACTGTCGATTTGAAACTCTTGATTAATTTTAGAGAATCGGCTAAAGATCAGAAGGAGCTACTTTATGAGATCTTCTCATATATACGTACTTTCCAAAGCTGGATTATCGGAGAAGTGTCTTGGTTTCAATCTATTATATTTTATACTGTCAGTTGCATTCTCTGCGCGTTATTTAGTTCTTCTAGAAGAACGGTTGATGCAAGAGTTGCGCTCTTTAGTATCCTAAGTTTGAATATAGTGATTGAAAGAATACTTGTTCAATATTATGATAAGATTATTCTTCAATCTCCAGATGATAAGGTAACATTATAATAAAGTTAAAAAAATTGTTTCTCATAATACTATTCCATTTTCTCTTATAGGTGCACCTGCTAAGTACAACATGGTTGTGCAGAAAAATTGCCTTAATACTTTGTGCTATAACATTATTCTGTACATATTACTATTATAAAGATGGACAATTAGAGAATTATAAGGCTTTACAAAGAATCGAGCAGCAGTTGAATATCATACAGAAAATTCCAATTATTTCCAACATTGACCAACCAATTCGTATGTATTTAATGTACAATTTTATATGAATGCATGAATCAAACTTTTGCATAATAGATTGTATCAAATCTAGGTTACTCGAAACGGCTTGCGTTGAAACGTTCTCATACAGTTTCTGATAAATAGGATATCGCTGATGTTAAAAATAGAAAATAACTTTAAATTAAAAAAAAATTGTCATATATATGTACATATTTTAATAAGATAATTGTACAAATGGAAATAAAGATATCTATAGAGCTTCAAAAATATTTATAAAAACAGTTTTTATACATTTAAGTGTTAAGTATGATAATCTCAATTGTTTTACAATGTATTATATGGTAATGCATTGATGTAGCATTACAGAAAAAAAAAACACTATACTGTAGGATATTTTCGTAGAAGATGTGTAATCTGCTTATAAGTCAAGTTCTTACTGTTAGGTACAGGGATAATTTGATTCTTTAAAGAATGCATACGTTCTATATTACTTGTGTAAACTTGGTAGCATTGATTTAATGCTGTTAATTCTGGGATACATCTGTTGTCTTCAAACTCATTTTCTTTGAGACACGTCAAAAGCAAGGACATTTCTAACAAACATCCCTTTTCTGGAAATAGAAATATATTCAAATTATTAATTTTATAAAATTATATACATACGTATAAGAAATACAATTTTCTTGAACATTAAATTTATTGTCAATTGTAATAAATATTGATACGTTCTGTGCAGAATGAAATTTACAGTCTATAAAATTAATTTCAAGGAATCAAAATAAACATTAAAAAGAACATACTAAGGTTTGTTTTCACACAATACGATTACTTAAAAATTACAGGTTATCAAGCAATTTGTGAATGAATTTCTGGTAACCTTTAATTTTTAGATAACTGATAAATTTCTTGGTAACCTTTAATTTTTAGGTAACTATATATTATGAAGATAGATTATTAAATATATTTTAATAAGAATAATTCTCTCTCTCAAAGTTGTAGATGTAATAAAAAATAAAATTGTTTTATATTCTTGACAGAGATTTATAATTAAGTGGAGCAAATAGAGATCCATCCTCTACTCCGAAGGAATATAATTGAATGGGTCCAATAAATCCCATCCGGAAAGTTAAATATACCTTCTGTTCTTTGATTCTTTCCACTCACAGAACTCCTCAATTTTAACGGCAAAATCTCCTTAAAAGGCACCTTCTTTTCATTCTGTGGCTGTCTCGCATTACGAGATAATATCGATGTTAATCTCATCTCTCTGAAATATAATATAAATATTTATCATGTGATATACTATAAAAATGAATATTACATAAATATATAGTAAAATAATATAGAATTATATAAATTTCTTTAAGAAAGTGAGGTTAAGTTTTTCATTAGATCTATGTTAGTGATTGGGCGCATGATTTTTTTTATGTCGACATATAAACACAGTTAATGTCAAAATACAACTCTAATAATCGTTAACAACTTTTGCTAGACGTACATTAATTTTTCTTACAAAAACGTCTGCTGGAGTTAGCCGCAACACAATCACGTTCGACTTTCAGAAAATGCAGCCCTAAGCGACCAGATGGCGACAGCGTTTACTTTCAATTTCAATTGTGTTCCCTCGTGTTCTACTTGATCGTGTTTTCTTTTCGCATTCGCAATTTAAAACGGTAAAGTGCTGTAGAACACGCCGCATGAAATTATTGCTATATCAGAATATACAAACGCGAAATCCAATTTCTTAAGATCAAAACAAATAAAAAATCAATTAGGTAAAACAAATATTAGTTCTCTTTCGAATGCAATCCTACATACTTCTCGCCTTTCTTTTCTTCTTTTTAGACACGTGTTTCGTGCGAATAAAATGCATGAAAATTGTGTAAAAAATAGATTCAGTATATTTAAGAGAGAAAATCCGTGTTTCTCTGTCTCTTTTCCTCTCTCGTGCTAAAAGCCGTCAAAATTGTTTAATAATCGCGCGCCATTTTTATCGCGAAGATACAAAAATCGCAAGATTAGTTTCTGGGGGAGGGGGGGGGGGGGGA